GTGAGGGAAGCAGGAAGCGAGGGAAGCAGGAAGCGAGGGAAGCAGGAAGCGAGGGAAGCAGGAAGTGAGGGAAGCAGGAAGCAAGGAAGCAGGAAGCAAGGGAAGCAGGAAGCAAGGGAAGCAGGAAGCGAGGGAAGCAGGAAGCAAGGGAAGCAGGAAGCGAGGGAAGCAGGAAGCAAGGAAGCAGGAAGCAAGAAAAGCAGGAAGCAGGAAGTGAGGGAAGCAGGAAGCAAGGAAGCAGGAAGCAAGGAAGTGAGGGAAGCAGGAAGCATGCAGGGATCTGATGGATCCAGATAGCCGGGAGCAGGCAGGGATCTGATGGATCCGGATAGCCGGGAGCACGCAGGGATCTGATGGATCCGGATAGCCGGGAGCACGCAGGGATCTGATGGATCCAGATAGCCGGGAGCAGGCAGGGATCTGATGGATCCGGATAGCCGGGAGCACGCAGGGATCTGATGGATCCGGATAGCTGGGAGCAGGCAGGGATCTGATGGATCCGGATAGCCGGGAGCAGGCAGGGATCTGATGGATCCGGACAGCCGGGAGCAGGCAGGGATCTGATGGATCTGGATAGCCGGGAGCACGCAGGGATCTGATGGATCCGGATAGCCGGGAGCAGGCAGGGATCTGATGGATCCGGATAGCCGGGAGCAGAACACACAAAAAGCCGGGAGCACGCAGGGATCTGATGGATCCCAATGGCCAGGAGCATGCAGGGATCTGATGGATCCGGATAGCCGGGAGCAGGCAGGGATCTGATGGATCCGGATAGCCGAGAGCAGGCAGGGATCTGATGGATCCGGATAGCCGTGAGCAGGCAGGGATCTGATGGATCCGGATAGCCGGGAGCACGCAGGGATCTGATGGATCCGGATAGCCGGGAGCAGGCAGGGATCTGATGGATCCGGATAGCCGGGAGCAGGCAGGGATCTGATGGATCCCAATGGCCAGGAGCAGGCAGGGATCTGATGGATCCAGATAGCCGGGAGCACGCAGGGATCTGATGGATCCGGATAGCCGAGAGCAGGCAGGGATCTGATGGATCCGGATAGCCGGGAGCAGGCAGGGATCTGATGGATCCGGATAGCCGGGAGCAGGCAGGGATCTGATGGATCCGGATAGCCGGGAGCAGGCAGGGATCTGATGGATCCGGATAGCCGGGAGCAGGCAGGGATCTGATGGATCCGGATAGCCGGGAGCAGGCAGGGATCTGACGGATCCGGATAGCCGGGAGCAGGCAGGGATCTGATGGATCCGGATAGCCGGGAGCAGGCAGGGATCTGATGGATCCGGATAGCCGGGAGCAGGCAGGGATCTGATGGATCCGGATAGCCGGGAGCAGGCAGGGATCTGATGGATCCGGATAGCCGGGAGCAGGCAGGGATCTGATGGATCCAGATAGCCGGGAGCACGCAGGGATCTGATGGATCCGGATAGCCGGGAGCAGGCAGGGATCTGATGGATCCGGATAGCCGGGAGCAGGCAGGGATCTGATGGGTCCGGATAGCCGGGAGCAGGCAGGGATCTGATGGATCCGGATAGCCGGGAGCAGGCAGGGATCTGATGGATCCGGATAGCCGGGAGCACGCAGGGATCTGATGGATCCCAATGGCCAGGAGCAGGCAGGGATCTGATGGATCCGGATAGCCGGGAGCAGGCAGGGATCTGATGGATCCGGATAGCCGGGAGCAGGCAGGGATCTGATGTATCCGGATAGCCGGGAGCAGGCAGGGATCTGATGGATCCGGATAGCCGGAGCAGGCAGGGATCTGATGGATCCGGATAGCCGGGAGCAGGCAGGGATCTGATGGATCCGGATAGCCGGGAGCACGCAGGGATCTGATGGATCCGGATAGCCGGGAGCAGGCAGGGATCTGATGGATCCGGATAGCCGGGAGCATGCAGGGATCCGGCCGGGAGCAGCAGGGACTGATGGATCCGGATAGCCGGGAGCAGGCAGGGATCTGATGGATCCGGATAGCCGGGAGCAGGCAGGGATCTGATGGATCCGGATAGCCGGGAGCAGGCAGGGATCTGATGGATCCGGATAGCCGGGAGCAGGCAGGGATCTGACGGATCCGGATAGCCGGGAGCAGGCAGGGATCTGACGGACCCGGATAGCCGGGAGCAGGCAGGGATCTGATGGATCCCAATGGCCAGGAGCACGCAGGGATCTCATGGGATCCCAATGGCCTGGAGCACGCAGGGATCTGATGGATCCCAATGGCTGGGAGCAGGCAGGGATCTGATGGATCCGGATAGCCAGGAACATGCAGGGATCTGATGGATCCCAACATTGGGAACACACAGGGATCTGATGGATCCCAATGGCCAGGAGGAGGCAGGGATCTGATGGGATCCCAGTGGCCAGAAGCACGTGGGATCTGATGGATCCCAACACTGGGAACACACAGGAATCTGATGGATCCCAATGGCCAGGAGCACGCAGGGATCCGATGGATCCCAACACCTGGGAACACACCAGGACCCAAATGGATCCCAACGGCCGTGAGCACGCAGGGATCTGCTGGGGACCAGCCTGGGGTATTCCCAAGGCCAGGAATGGGGGGATGAAGACATGGGGGGGGAGGGGGGAGGGAAGAGGGGATAGAGCAGAGGGGAGATGGGTGGGGAGGGATGGACACGGGACAGGGGGGGGGCTCAGCAGGGGAGGGAGGAGGGACGGGGCCATGCGGAGGGGGGCGCAGGAGAGCTGGGAATGGGCACAGGGCACGGAGCCTTCCTCCCGCCCGCTCCTCCTCCGGGTCAAACCTCCCATTCCCCGCCGCTCTGAGGCCTTTACCCGTGTCCGGGGGAGGGAGCCGCCGCCGGGGCCTTCCTCCCGCTCCTCCTCCTCCACCTCCTCCTCCTCCTCGTCCGAGCCGGTGCTGTCGGAGCCGGAGTCCTCCAGCCCCGAGTACGCGCTCTCCTCGCTCTCCGTGAGCTCCTCACTGTCCGCCGATGGACGTGGCTGCAAGGGACGGGAACGGAGCGGGGTCAGGACCGGGTCCCCCCCTCAGCCCCACAGTGGGCTCCGCAGGCCCCGTGCAGGCCCCGCAGGCCCCGTGCAGGCTCCGCAGGCCCCGTACAGGCCCCGTGCAGGCCCCGTGAAGGCCCCGTGAAGGCCCCGTCACCATGGCAACGCGCCCCTACCTCCGCCATGGCCCCGCTGCCGCCGCCGACCGAAGCACCACGTGCGCGCGGGTCAGAGGTCACCGCCAAGGACGCGCCCCCTCAGCCGGCGCGTTGCGCATGCGCATTTGCAAGCCCGGCGCACGGGGACGAGGAGGGCGGTGCTCTGCGCATGCGCATCCCTCAACTTGCGCGCATGCGCAAAGCGGGCTCCAGCAGGAGACGAGGGGGCGTGTCCCGGCGCGCCAGGAGGCCGGGGCGCGCATGCGCAAAGCGCCCCAGCGGGCGCCTGGGGTGGGTGTGTGTGCGTCCCGGCGCGCCAGGAGGCGGAGCCGCGCATGCGCGCCGCCTCCCGGCGCAGGTTGGGGGGGCGTCCCAAGATGGCGGCGGCCATGCTGGACCCCGGTGCTCTCCGTGCGCAGGCCGCGGCCCGGCCCCGCGGCAGCTTCCGGGCGCTCTGAGGCCCCGCCAGGCCCCCGCCGCCGCCATGGAAGGGCCCGGGGCCGCGGCCCCCGGCGGAGGGAACGTGCCCGCGTTCCTCACCAAGCTCTGGACGCTCGTGGAGGACCCGGACACGGACGCGCTGATTTGCTGGAGCCCGGTGAGTCCCCCACAGACGCCGCCGTTGTTGGGCCTGGTCATGGCCGCGTCTCCGGTGAGGCCCTGCGGGTGGGCAGAGGGTTTGTTCCTGCTGCTGCTGCTGCTTGGGCCTTCCCTCGGTCCCAAACGCGCACCCGCGTCCATCCCCATCCCCGTCCCCGCTCTGCACCGGGGGAGACGAGGCCTAAAGCAGCACCGGGGCGCACAGGGAGCTCCGGGGGAGGCTGCTCCCGGTGGTCCCATCCCTGCAAGTCATCACCTTGGGGCCGGGAGCAGAGCCCAGCCCCTCCTGGCTCCATCCCCCTTGTAGGGAGCCATCAGTTCCCCTCTGAGCCTTCTCCTCCTGACCCCCCCCAGGTCCCTGGCCCAGGGCTGGTACAGGCCAGGATGCGGTTGCCATGGATACAGCTCCATCCCTCAGCATCCCCAGCTCCTGTTCCAAGAGCTTTAATCCCTTCAGTGCTCAAGGGCAGGTTGGACACAGGGGGGAGCACCCTGCTCCATTGGAACGGATTGGAGCTGGAGGAGCTTTAAGCTCCCTTCATCCCACCCCATCCCATGCCTTGGTCCAAGCTGCTTTTCCTGCTTCAGATCCACATCTCCCCTTCAGTGCTGCTTTCCCTCCTCTTTGAGCTGAGCTGCACCCCACAACCAACCCCACACCACAGGGGGCTTTATCAGCACAGCAAGACCCTGTTGGGACCCGACTCAGTGCTTCCATGGAGCCTGCTTTAAAGGGCTCAGTCCAAGGTGAGGGCGATGCTGTTGGATGCAGGACCGGTCCCTTCCTGCTGGAGCATCCCCTGGCCTTGCTCTGCTGCCATTGGACCCATGATGAGAGGAGCTTTAGGGATGGGATTGGAGCCCCCCTGCCTCTTCCTCCCATTGCATGCACAGAGGAGGTGGCCATGGGTGAGCTTCAGGAGGGTTCCCCCTCAAAGAGACCCCAGGGACTAGAGCAGGATGCTCCTTCCATAGCCCTGTGGCTGGAAGTGGGGCAGGGATTGAATGGAGCTCCCATGTTAAAGGGGAATTTCACCCCTGGAGTCCATAGATCCATGGAATGGGGGGTGTTGGAAGGGAGCTTAAAGAGGGGTTGAGGTGGGAGCTTGGGAAGCTCTTCCCTATGAGGGTGCACAGAGGAGTTTGGGATGCTCCATCCCTGGTTCAGGTTGGACACAGGGGCTCGGAGCATCCTGCTCCAATGGAAACGCTTGGAGCTGGAGGAGCTTTAAGCTCCCTTCATCCCAACCCATCCCATGGCATGGAAAAGTCCCCCTTAATCCTTTAGGATCCTATAGGACCCATTAGGATCCTGCATGTTTGCACTACGAGCCCCATCTTTGGGATTGGGGTTCAGCCACTTGGCCAAGGGCTTCCCTGCGAGGGTCCCATTGGGAACTGAATGGGATCCTATGGGTTAAGCTCTTTGCAGTGCAACCATAGCCATGAGCAGGGGCATCCCCATTGGGTTAAAGGGGAGCAGGTCCTGGTCCTCCTGTGTGATGCTGATACAGGGAAGTTGGGGCTGTTGAGCCTGGAGAAGAGAAGGATGCTTGGAGACCCCAGAGCATCCTTCCAGTGTGTGAAGGGGGCTATAGGGATGCTGGGGATGGGCTCTCCATTAGGGACTGCAGTGATGGGACAAGGGGTAATGGGTTCAAACTGGAACAGGGGAGGTTTAGATTGGATCTAAGGAGGGAATTCTTCCCTATGAGGATGCTGAGGCACTGGAATGGGTTCCAAACCAAGCCACGTCTTCCTCTGACCCTCAGCATCCAGAGCCTCAATGATGTGGAATTACCTCGGTTTGGGGCATGGTTTAAGCCTACCCCAATGAAACCATCCCAGTTGCTGATGGGTGGTGATGCTTGACTCCCATTGCCTTCATTTGTGCCCAGCTGAGCTTCACCCAGTGCTGGGACCCTTGAATGGCTTCAATGGAGAAGCTGGGGCTACAGTGGGCTCAGAGCATCCTCATGCTTGGACCCAAAGCAGCTTTAAGTTCCCTTCATCCCACCCCATTCCATGCATTTCCTCCCTATCTAACACCCCCTTTTCCCCTCTTTCTTTACCAGAGTGGAAGCAGCTTCCACGTCTTCGACCAAGGCCAGTTTGCCAAGGAGGTGCTCCCAAAATACTTCAAACACAACAACATGGCCAGCTTCGTGCGCCAGCTCAACATGTGTAAGTACCTCCTGCATCCTCCTGCCTTGTGGTCCATGGCTCCGTGATGGAGCATTGATTTGGGTGCTCTGCATCGCTCCCATTTGGGGTACCAAGGGATGGGTTATAAGGACCCAGGGAGGGGGGAATAACAGCATCCAGACCTGGAATCTCCTCCTGCATCCCCTCATGTTCTTGATGGGACATCAGTACTGGGGGTGTGGAACCAGCACAGTCCCATCATAAGGGGCACCTTGTGTGTGTTCCCCTCATGTTCTTGATGGGACATCAGTACTGGGGGTGTGGAACCAGCACAGTCCCATCATAGGGGACACCTTGTGTGTGTTCCCCTCATGTTCTTGATGGGACATCAGTGCTGGGGGTGTGGAACCAGCACAGTCCCACCATAGGGGACACCTTGTGTGTGTTCCCTCATGTTCTGATGGACATCAGTGCTGGGGGTGTGGAACCAGCACAGTCCCATCATAGGGGACACCTTGTGTGTGTTCCCCTCATGTTCTTGATGGGACATCAGTGCTGGGGGTGTGGAACCAGCACAGTCCCATCATAGGGGACACCTTGTGTGTGTTCCCCTCATGTTCTTGATGGGACATCAGTGCTGGGGGTGTGGAACCAGCACAGTCCCACCATAGGGGACACCTTGTGTGTGTTCCCCTCATGTTCCTGATGGGACATCAGTGCTGGGGGTGTGGAACCAGCACAGTCCCATCATAGGGGACACCTTGTGTGTGTTCCCCTCATGTTCTTGATGGGACATCAGTGCTGGGGGTGTGGAACCAGCACAGTCCCACCATAGGGGACACCTTGTGTGTGTTCCCCTCATGTTCTTGATGGGACATCAGTGCTGGGGGTGTGGAACCAGCACAGTCCCACCATAGGGGACACCTTGTGTGTGTTCCCCTCATGTTCTTGATGGGACATCAGTGCTGGGGGTGTGGAACCAGCACAGTCCCACCATAGGGGACACCTTGTGTGTGTTCCACTCATGTTCCTGATGGGACATCAGTGCTGGGGGTGTGGAACCAGCACAGTCCCATCATAGGGGACACCTTGTGTGTGTTCCCCTCATGTTCTTGATGGGACATCAGTGCTGGGGGTGTGGAACCAGCACAGTCCCATCATAGGGGACACCTTGTGTGTGTTCCCCTCATGTTCTTGATGGGACATCAGTGCTGGGGGTGTGGAACCAGCCCTGCTCTACCAAACAGGAGTGATGCAGAAGAGGAACCCATAGAACCAAGCTTGGGGTTGTTCATCCATGGAGGGATGGGATGGGATGGGATGGGATGAAGGGACCTTAAAGCTCCTCCATCTCCATCCCCTTCCATTGGAGCAGGATGCTCCAAGCCCCTGTATCCAACCTGCCAGGGATGGAGCATCCCAAACTCCTCCCTTTATCCCATCCCAATGTCCCAGCACCCTCAATTCTCTGCTATGGGGCCTGATCCTTTGCAGCTCTTTGCCAAGGCCCCCTTTTCCTTCCCCCCCTTTTCCTTCCCCCCCTTTTCCTTCCCCCCTTTTCCTTCCCCCCCTTTTCCTTCCCCCTCTTTTCCTTCCCCCCTTTTCCTTCCCCCCCTTTTCCTTCCCCCTTTCCTTCCCCCCCTTTTCCTTCCCCTCTTTTCCTTCCCCTCTTTTCCTTCCCCCCTTTTCCTTCCCCCCCTTTCCTTCCCCCCCTTTTCCTTCCCCCCCTTTCCCTCCCCCCTTTTCCTTCCCCCCTTTTCCTCCCCCCCTTTTCCCCCCCCTTTTCCTTCCCGCCTTTTCCTCCCCCCCTTTCCCCCCCCCTTTTCCTCCCCCCTTTTCCTTCCCCCTCTTTTTCCTTCCCCCCTTTCCTTCCCCCCTTTTCCTTCCCCCCCTTTTTCCTTCCCCCTTTTCCCCCTCCTTCCCACCTTTCCCCCCTTTCCCCCCTTTCCTCCCCTTTCCTTCCCCCTCTTTTTTCCTTCCCCCCTTTCCTTCCCCTTCCTTCCCCCCTTTTCCTCCCCCTTTTCCCCTTTTCCTTCCCGCCTTCCTCCCCTTTCCCCCCTTTCCCTCCCCCCTTTCCCTTCCCCCCTTTCCTTCCCCCTTTTCCTCCCCTCTTTCCTTCCCACCCTTTTCCTTCCCCCCTTTCCTTCCCCCCCTTTCCTTCCCCCCCTTTCCCCCCTTTCCTTCCCCCCTTTCCTTCCCCCTCTTTTCCTCCCCCTTTTCCTCCCCCTTTTCCTTCCCCCCTTCCTCCCCCTTTTCCTCCCCTTCCTTCCCCCCTTTCCTCCCTTTTTCCCCGTTTTCCTCCCCCTTCCTTTCCCTCTTTTTCCTTCCCCCCTTTTCCTTCCCCTTTTTCCTTCCCCCCTTTCCTTCCCCCTTTCCCTCCCTTTTCCTCCCTCCTTCCCCCCTTTTCCTCCCTTTCCCCCTTTTCCTCCCCCCTTTCCTTCCCCTCTTTCCTTCCCCCCCCTTATCCTTCCCCCTTTTCCTCCCCTTTCCTCCCCTTCCTTCCCCTTTTTCCTTCCCCCCTTTCCTTCCCCCTCTTTCCTCTCCCTTTTCCTTCCCCCCTTTTTCCTCCCTTTTCCTTCCCCCCCCTTTTCCTTCCCCCTTTCCTTCCCCCTTTCCTTCCCCCTTTTCCTTCCCCCTTTTCCTTCCCCCTTTCCTTCCCCCTTTCCTTCCCCCTTTCCTTCCCCCTTTCCTTCCCCCCCTTTTCCTTCCCCCTCTTTTCCTCCCCCCTTTTCCTTCCCCCCTTTTCCTTCCCCCCTTTTCCTTCCCCCTCTTTTCCTCCCCCCTTTTCCTTCCCCCTCTTTTCCTTCCCCCCCTTTTCCTTCCCCCCCTTTTCCTTCCCCCCCGTGCATCCAAGGATACCAGGAGGATGCCTTTCACCCCATCCCACATAGAGGCTTCAACAGGGATCAGTGTTAACGCTCCAGATGTGGGCCTGCAGAGAGCATCCCAATGGGATTAGGAGGGATGATGCTTCCATTGCCTTTCAACACCAGCTCTCTTGAAGCACTTTATAGGGATGATCCCAGTTGAGGATGCAATTCCCAGCATATAGGACTCAGCCATCCCTATGCAGCATCACCCATCCAGGAGGCTGTGCTGCTGCACTGGGAATAGCCTGGACATCATGGGATGGGGTGGGATGAAGGGAGCTTAAAGCTCATCCAGCTCCGACCCAAAGGGATGCTCCGAGCCCCTGTGTCCAACCTGGCAGGGATGGAGCATCCCAAACTCCTCCCTTCAGCACCCTCATGGGGAAGAACCCCCCAAGATCCCATCAACTCTTCCCTCTTCCTCCTCATCCCATCCCTGCATCCCTCATCCCATCCCTGCATCCCTCATCCCACCCCTGCATCCCTCATCCCACCCCTGCATCCCTCATCCCATCCCTGCATCCCTCATCCCCTCCCTGCATCCCTCATCCCACCCCTGCATCCCTCATCCCATCCCTGCATCCCTCATCCCACCCCTGCATCCCTCATCCCATCCCTGCATCCCTCATCCCACTCCTGCATCCCTCATCCCATCCCTGCATCCCTCATCCCATCCCTGCATCCCTCATCCCATCCCTGCATCCCTCATCCCATCCCTGCATCCCTCATCCCATCCCTGCATCCCTCATCCCATCCCTGCATCCCTCATCCCATCCCTGCATCCCTCATCCCATCCCTGCATCCCTCATCCCATCCCTGCATCCCTCATCCTTCTCCAGGCTTTCCCATCCCTTGCAGCATCCCCATGGCCTCCTCTGGACCAACTCCATCAGCTCCAGGTCCTTCTTTCCTGCAGCAGAAGCCTCAAGTTCAAACCCACCCCATTCAGCTTGGTTTCAGTTGCCCCCCCTTTCCTTTTCAGATGGGTTCCGTAAGGTTGTGCACATTGAGCAGGGGGGATTGGTGAAGCCAGAGAAGGATGACACGGAATTCCAGCATCCCTACTTCATCCGAGGGCAGGAGCATCTCCTGGAGAACATCAAGAGGAAAGTAACCAGCGTAAGTACCTGCAAGGCATCTTTTGGGATGAGCTTTAACCGAAGTGATGCAAACCAGAGCGCTGATCCCAAAAGGCTTCCTGTGCTCCAAGGGTGACCATGGGATCAGCTGGATTGGGAAAGCCCAGTCCAACCATTGCCCCAATGCCCCATGTGCACATCCTATAGACACCCCCAGGGTAACCCCACTGCCCCATGTGCCCATCCTATAGACACCCCCAGGGTAACCCCACTGCCCCATGTGCCCATCCTATAGACACCCCCAGGGTCCCCATGCAACCCCACTGCCCCATGTGCCCATCCTATAGACACCCCCAGGGTAACCCCACTGCCCCATGTGCCCATCCTATAGACACCCCCAGGGTCCCCATGCAACCCCACTGCCCCATGTGCCCATCCTATAGACACCCCCAGGGTAACCCCACTGCCCCATGTGCCCATCCTATAGACACCCCCAGGGTAACCCCACTGCCCCATGTGCCCATCCTATAGACACCCCCAGGGTCCCCATGCAACCCCACTGCCCCATGTGCCCATCCTATAGACACCCCCAGGGTAACCCCACTGCCCCATGTGCCCATCCTATAGACACCCCCAGGGTCCCCATGCAACCCCACTGCCCCATGTGCCCATCCTATAGACACCCCCAGGGTAACCCCACTGCCCCATGTGCCCATCCTATAGACACCCCCAGGGTAACCCCACTGCCCCATGTGCCCATCCTATAGACACCCCCAGGGTAACCCCACTGCCCCATGTGCCCATCCTATAGACACCCCCAGGGTAACCCCACTGCAACCCCACTGCCCATGTGCCCATCCTATAGACACCCCCAGGGTCCCCATGCCTGCAGCCCTGCCCTGTTCCAATGCCTGAGCACCCTCTGGGGCAGGAATTGCTCCTCAGCTCCATCCAACCCTGCCCTGGTGCAGCTTGAGCCCGGTTCCTCTTGTCCCATCCCTTGGCTCCATCCTGGCTCCATCCTCCTTGGAGGCACCCATCAGGTCCTGCTCTCCTCCTCCCCATGTCCTGCATCCCTTCCCCATCACCCCCAGTGCCCCATCCCCATTCCCTTCTCTGCGCCCCATTCAGCCCCTCAATGTTGCAGTGAGGGCCCCATAGCTGAACACAGGATTTGAGGTGTTGGGATGGAGGCAGAGCTGCTCCATCCTCCATAGCATCTTCCCCATCCCCTATGGTCAATGCTATGCTGGGCACCTGGGGCCTATGGAGCGATGCTTTGTGTTCCTCCTATGCAAGACCATTCCCCCATCACCACAAGTGAGCTCCTTGGTCCCTTCCATTGGGAATTGTAAGGTCCCTGCACCCAAACCAAGCTGGGATTCAGTGCTTCCTATATGGGAGCACCAAAACCCTGTGCTCAGAGCCTGCTCCTTGGCTGCAGTGGTGATGCTGAGAGCATCCAGTGAGCGGTGATGCTGAGGGACCACTGCAAGAGGCTTTGGTTTCCCTTCTCTCCATTGCTCATCATGGGAATTCCCATTCCAGCACCTTCAGAGGGGGGCAGGAGCCTCCCCCCAGTGCTGATGCTCCCTTTGGGATGTGGCATTGCCCTGGTTGAGAGCATCTTGGGCTGTTCCCCCTATCACAAGGGTTTGCAAGCCAACAGCCCTGCCCTGGATGCTGCATCCTGCTCCAGCATCACCTGGGATTGCTTAGGATGGGAGGGAATTCCCAGTTCTCCCAGTTCCCAAGCAGGAATCAGCTTGCTCTATGGGTACCTGTGGTGATGGAGGAGGTTCAGAGCTCCCCATAGCTCTCAGCATCACCGAGCTCCCCCCTATCTCCAGGTATCCAGCATCAAGAACGAGGACATCAAGGTCCAGCAGGACAACGTGACCAAGCTCCTGACTGACATCCAGGTGATGAAGGGGAAGCAGGAGAGCATGGACTCCAAGCTCATCGCCATGAAGCAGTATGTATGTGTGGAGGGAGGCGGGTGGACCAGTATGGACCAGTATGGACCAGTATGGACCAGTTTGCCCAGTGCTTTCTCTCCTCAATGGGTTGTTTTGAAGCCAGTCTCTTAGAGAAGGATGCTCCTTGCTTGTTCTCCATCCCTGCCTCCCTTTGTCCCAAGGATACAGCATGGGATTTAAGGAGCATCCTTAGGAAGGGACCTTTTAAACAGGATGAAGCCATGGGGTGACCCCATAGGGGTAAAGATGCTTTGGAGGAAGGCTTTGCCCTAAGGTTGGGAAGGCTTCAGGAGCTTCCCATCATTCCATAGGGATGGATCTGCAGTGTCAATGCATGGCACTGGGACATCCTTGGCATTGGATTTGGGTTTTCCTGCCTTGGGGTACACACCTTGGTCTTGTTCTATACTGCAGTAGGGTTAGGGTTAGGGTTAGGGTTAGGGTTAGGGTTAGGGTTAGGGTTAGGGTTTGGGTTAGGGTTAGGGTTAGGGTTAGGGTAGGAGTAGGTAGGAGGGTTAGGGTAGGGTAGGTTAGGGTTAGGGTTAGGTTAGGTTAGGTTAGGGTTAGGGTTGTTAGGTTAGGGTTAGGTTAGGGTTAGGTTAGGTTAGGTTAGGTTAGGTTAGGTTTATGTTAGGTTAGGTTTAGGTTAGGTTAGGTTAGGTTGGGTTAGGAGGTAGGGTTAGGTAGTTAGGTTAGGGTTAGGTTAGGGTTAGGTTAGGGTTAGGTGGGTTAGGTTAGGTTAGGGTTAGGTTAGGGTTAGGGTTAGGGTTAGGGTTAGGGTTAGGGTTAGGGTTAGGGTTCGGGTTAGGGTTCGGGTTAGGGTTAGGGTTAGGGTTAGGGTTAGGGTTAGGGTTAGGGTTAGGGTTAGGGTTAGGGTTAGGGTTAGGGTTAGGGTTAGGGTTAGGGTTAGGGTTAGGGTTAGTTAGGATAACATTTGCTGGCCTGTCCTAGTACTTATAATCCAGGCTCTTGATTCCCTCCTTGCACCCCATTGAATTCCCTATGGATTTGGGCACTGGGATGGGATAAAGGGAGAAGATTGGGATGCTCCATCCCTGCAGGTTGGACACAGGGGCTTGGAGCATCCTGCTCCAATGGAAGGGATCCCTGCCCATGGTAGGGATTGGAGCTGGAGGGGCTCCATCCAACCCAACCCATCCCATATCCCTGTGTGAGGATGGGAGCATCCCCCAGTGCATCCCAGCACTCCCCAGTTGCTGCTCCTTTGGCTCTGCCTGAAGCATCATGAGCATCACTGGTGCTGCATCCCTGTAGGGCCCCATGTGGAACACCTGGAGCAGCAGTGGGCTCCCTGGGTACCATGGTACCCGGGTACCATTGTACCTGGGTACCAGGGCTTACTGGGGACCCTTGTATCTGGGTACCAGGGCTTAATGGGGACCCTTGTACCTGGGTACCAGGGCTTACTGGGTACCATTGTACCTGGGTACCAGGGCTTACTGGGGACCCTTGTATCTGGGTACCAGGGCTTAATGGGGACCCTTGTACCTGGGTACCTGGGCTTACTGGGGACCCTTGTACCTGGGTACCAGGGCTTACTGGGGACCCTTGTACCCGGGTACCAGGGCTTACTGGGGACCCTTGTAACTGGGTACCAGGGCTTACTGGGGACCCTTGTACCTGGGTACCGGGGATTACTGGGGACCCTTGTACCTGGGTACCAGGGCTTACTGGGGACCCTTGTACCTGGGTACCAGGGCTTACTGGGGACCCTTGTACCTGGGTACCAGGGCTTACTGGGGACCCTTGTACCTGGGTACCGGGGCTTACTGGGGACCCTTGTACCTGGGTACCAGGGCTTACTGGGGACCCTTGTACCTGGGTACCAGGGCTTACTGGGGACCCTTGTAGCTGGGTACCAGGGCTTACTGGGGACCCTTGTATCTGGGTACCGGGGCTTACTGGGGACCCTTGTACCTGGGTACCAGGGCTTACTGGGGACCCTTGTACCTGGGTACCAGGGCTTACTGGGGACCCTTGTACCTGGGTACCAGGGCTTACTGGGGACCCTTGTACTCCCATATCCCAATGGGAACCAGGATTGGTGCTGGGATTGTGTCCCTGCTGCTCCCATATCCAATGGGGAACCAGGATTGGTGCTGGGATTGTGTCCCTGCTGCTCCCGTATCCAATGGGGAACCAGGATTGGTGCTGGGATTGTGTCCCTGCTGCTCCCGTATCCAATGGGGAACCAGGATTGGTGCTGGGATTGTGTCCCTGCTGCTCCCATATCCAATGGGAACCAGGATTGGTGCTGGGATTGTGTCCCTGCTGCTCCCGTATCCAATGGGGAACCAGGATTGGTGCTGGGATTGTGTCCCTGCTGCTCCCATATCCAATGGGAACCAGGATTGGTGCTGGGATTGTGTCCCTGCTGCTCCCGTATCCAATAGGAACCAGGATTGGTGCTGGGATTGTGCCCCTGCTGCTCCCATATCCAATGGGGAGCCAGGATTGGTGCTGGGATTGTGGCCCTGCTGCTCCCGTATCCAATGGGGACCAGTTTTGGTGCTGGGATTGTGTCCCTGCTGCTCCCATATCCAATGGGGACCAGTTTTGGTGCTGGGATTGTGTCCCTGTTCTTGGTTTGGCTCCTGTGTTCCCCTTAGGTGCCTCTGGGGATATTTCACTGTCTGAAAATGGGTTTTTTTGCCCTTTTTTTGCCCCTTTGGGCCTTCCCCCCCCCTTTTTTTCACCTTTTTTCTTTTTACTTTTTTGCCTTTTTTCTTTGGCTTTTTTCCCTTTTTTGCCTTTTCTTTGCCTTTTCCCCCCTTTTTTGCCTTTTTTCTTTGTCTTTTTTGCCCCTTTTTGCCCTTTTTTGCCCTTTTTTGCCCTTTTTTTTGCCCTGTTTTTGCCTTTTTTGCCTCTTTTGCCCTGTTTTTGCCCTTTTTTGCCCTTTTTGCCTTTTTTGCCTTTTTTTATCCGTTTTTGCCCCTTTTTTGGTTTTTTGCCCTTTTTTGCCCTTTTTTTTCCTCTTTTGCCTTTTTTTGCCTTTATTGCCTTTTTTTGCCTTTTTTGCCTTTTTTTTTGCCCTTTCTTGCCTTTTTTCCTTTTTTTCCTTTTTTTCTTTTTTTGCCTTTTTTGCCCTTTTTTTGCCTTTTTTGCCCTTTTTTGCCTTTTTTCCCTTTTTTCCCTTTTTGCCTTTTTTGCCCTTTTTTTGCCTTTTATTGTCCTTTCTTGCTCTTTTTACCCTTTTTTGTCCTTTTTCGCCTTTTTTCCTCTTTTTTGGTCTTTTTTTCCCTTTTTTGCTTTTTTTTTAATTTTTTTGTGATTTTTGCCCTTTTTTACCTTTTTTACCTTTTTTTGCCCTTTTTTGCCTTTTTTACCTTTTTTGCATTTTTTACCTCTTTTTGCCCTTTTTTTGCCTATTTTTTTGCATTTTTTTTCCTTTTTTTTTTGCCCTTTTTATCCCTTTCTTTGTCCATTATGCCCCCCCAAGCACCATTCCTTGCACCAGCAGCAGCAAAGCCCTCCCCGTTCGCCTTCATCCCTGATCCATCGATTCCCTTCCAGCGCATCCCTTTGTTATTCCCATTGAATCCCAGCACGGATCCAGGCTGGGGGGAGCAGGACCTCAGCGCAACCCCATCCCTGCCCAGCTTGGATGGAGCTTGGAGCCCCCCTTTGCTCCAATGGCAGCGATTCCCTGCCTATGGATGGAGCTGGACCACTTGAAGCATCCTTCATCCCAACCCATTCCATGAATCCATGGTTTACCATCAGCATGATCCCACTCATGGGACCGGTTTGTGCCCATGCATCTCCTTGCTTTCCTACTGGAAATCCATCAGGAAGCCCCTTGGGTTGGGAACCCCAGCTCCAGCCATCGGGAATGGGATCGGCTTCATCCCCATCCCTGCATCTCCAGAGGCAGCAGCATCCAGCAGGGACCAGTCGTGGACTGTGCCTGCAGTTCCTCTTGGCTCCCATTCTGCTTCCTCACTCCTGGAATAGGGCCCTGGACCAAGCCCAATGCTTCCTTTGGGATTTTCCCACTTGGAAGGGGTTGGGATTCAGCTGAGCATCCCGCTCGGAGCAGGCCCAGCTCCATCTCCATCATCAGGGCTCTTGCTGTAAGTCCCCATCTCTTGTGTGGTAACACATGGATTGATGGAGCCATGGGATGGGTTGGGATGAAGGCAAGGACCCCGTCCATTGGAGCAGGATGCTCCAAGCCCCTGTATCCAACCTTGCCAAGGATGGAGCATCCCAAACTCCTCCCTTCATCCCATCCCAGTGCCCCAGCATCCTCATGGGGAAGAACCCCCCAAGATCCCATCAACTCTTCCCTCTTCCTCCTCATCCCATCCCTGCATCCCTCATCCCAAGCACCCCACTGCTTCTACCTGGCTTCTTCTTCCATAGGGCCCAAGGGGCTCCTTTCCCATCCCATTCCCACTCATTGCTCCTGCAGGAAGGGGACCTTCCCAATGATTCATGCTCTGTGCTGGGCTCCAATGGGATCTCCATCCATCTAATGGGATCCAGACCTCCATCATCACCGGCTTCTGTCGGCTTTCCCTATGGATCCTATGGGAATGGCCTTGGCCTCCTGATAGGAATCAGTGTGTCCCTTCTCTGGGATGGAGCTCAGCCCTGCTTCCAAGGAGGGTGCTGTTTGGTCCCCTTCCCATCGGGAGCCTGGGGTTATCCCAGATCCCAGGTTCTGGAATGGGAAAGGGGGGAGCATCCCGGAGCATCCTGGAGCAGCTCCTGTGGTGTTCCCAGCCAGGCGGGCTCTGTGGTGTATCCCTGCTCCATGAGGGTATGGCATCGTGTGACCTGGGCTGGGATGGGGATGGGGAATGGGAATGGGGATGTGCAGTGGGGATGGGGATAGGGAATGGGGATGGGCAGTAGGAATGGGGATGTGCAGTGGGGATGGGGATGGGGATGGGGGATGGGGATGTGCAGTAGGGATGTGCAATGGGGATGGGGAATAGGGATGTGCAGTGGGGATGGGGATGTGCAGTGG